CATTGCTTAATTAAAATGTTATTGTGTTAATTGGCATGACACATCAGAAAGCAAATAACACAAGTACTTATTTGGTATACTGTGTAGATCTTCACCAGCATGGTGTTCAGAAGGGAAAAACAAAATTTAAGACTCTCAAACTCTGTTCATCTATTTGGTGTGGCACAACATAGAGAAGACAAATTTGAGGTGATGTTTAACATCCAGCACAGAAGTTACAACTCAACAGATTATTAAAGGCTATATATGCAGATTAAAGTCATAGATGCAGAAGCCTGATTCAAGGATGGACCTTGGTAAAGGAGCAAAATGCAGGCACAGGTACCAAATATAGAATCAATTAATGCATAGTGGAAAAAGCAATTGAGAAAATGTCAAGAGGAAACCCAAGGAGAATGGGCTTGTTTAGATTAAGTTTGGAGTAATTCATAACAAGGTGAATTTCCTACGGTCATAGAATGCAAAGAAACTGAAAATATGACCAACTAAGACACACAGAATCTTCATGGTAAATTAAGGTATGTGGCAAAACAAGCTACAGAAATAGTAAAAAAGTAGTAGTAATAGATCAGCAAGGTGAGGTGCAGTCATCCAAATGATTTTTGTATTTTTACAGTGCATTCATCAAAATGTTCACTTTGCTTGGGAGTGCTTACTACACATATTTCCTAGTTCCTGAAAGTCCAAAATTATGATGCTCAAAAAACCCAAAATAAAGCAAGAAGTAGGAAAAAGGATATTTTCTTTCCCCCACGTTTTCCTCTTTAAATATTTTTCATCTTTATTATTTAGAAAGGCTTGACTTAAGGTAAAAATTAAGATTTATTTTTAACAGTACTGCAAGAGAAAGAAGGATGATATTTTTCCCCAAAGGCTTAAATGACTTGAGTTGGAATGTTACATCAATTGAAATGGAGACATCTTTTTGCTACAAGTGTTTTTGCAGACTTTGTTTTATCTAATTTGTGTTAAAAAAATACAAAGCAGCCATGATCTGAAATAATGTGGCTTAATGTATTTTGACAGCTTTCTTTTTCCCTTCTCTGCTTCATGTAATCAGCTTCCTACTTTTTCTTTAGCCATCTACCGAGTCTTCCAAAACAATGATGAAATCTGTGATGTTAAAAAACCTCAAACCAAATAACAGATTTTTAAATAAAATGAAGACAACTTTTAAAAGTTCAATGAAAATTAATCCCCTCTATATCCTTTCTATACAGAAACAATGACAAGGTCAGAAACCCAGTTATCTTTCAACTTTCATCACCTCATTTCAGAACATCTAAATGAGAAATTTGATAGCATGTTTGTAAAAATTCCACTTTAAAATTAGCTTTATGACCCACTCATTTTAAAATTCTTATCAGCTCTATATGGAGAAGAGCAAATACTATTCTGTGTGAGGTGATTAATCACAGATTACAAATGGAATAGTCATGATGAGTAGCAGAAGCTGGAATGGGAGATGGATAAGAGAAATTATACTGGAGAAGAAACATACCATTACAAAAGAAAAAAATCTCTGTACTAATTGCAGGGAGAAAGAGGTTGACAAGAGACTGGATAAAAAGAATACTAATTTACAAAGTACTGCTTTCAGTTTCTGTTTTCCCACTTCACTGTCCATACTTTTCTTCTGATTTTCCATGTTTCTTACCTTCCATTTGTCAGAGCAAAACTTGTTTTTTCATGTCTTGATCTAACATGGGTTAATATTGCTCTCGCCTCTTCTAGCAGGAAAGAAAAAAACCCCACTGACCTTTATCCAACTTTCAATAAGAGAAAGTAATGTTGCCCCAGGCCTAATATCAGTTAGACATTTTCTTTTCAACCAGTGTGTGATGCTGTAACTTTTCAGCAGATATTACTGCATTTAAAACCATTTAACAGGTGTTGAAGAGTTATTTTCTCTCAATAGATTTCTCTTAGTACCTGTGGAACTGTTTAGACCAAGAATTTATTTTCAAAAATTATTCAGTCTCAATAGAGCATGCAGAATCACAAATTACTCATTCTTTTCCTCTGAACTAGGTTGATGAGCTGTTTCAACTGGAAAGAAACAGTAGTAAATAAATTCTGTAGCTCTTTAGTTCTGCTATTACAGAACAGGTGTGGACTTTGAGATAAATAATTGTTTTATGTTCTTCAACCATTTGTTGCTACCATCTGCCAGAATAGTATTAATACTGGACAAGACAAAGTTCCTGGGAGATCTTACAGCACCTTCTAAGACCTAAAAGGGCCTGAAAGCTGGAGAAGGACATTTTCCAAGGGCATGGAGGGATAGTGCCAGGGGAAGTGGCTTCAGAATGGAAGAGGGTTGGTTTAAATTTGATAATAAGAGGAAATTCTTTACTGTGATGATGGTGAGGCACAGGTTGCCCAGAGAAGCTGTGGATGCCCCATCCCTGGGAGTGTTCAAGGCTAGGTTGGATGTGTCTCTGAGCAACCTGATCTAGTGAAAGGTGTCCTTGTCTGTGTCAGGTGGGTGAAACTACATGATTTTCAAGGTACCTTCAAACACAAGCCCTTGTGTGGTTCTATGAATATTTTCCACATTCTAACACTTAAAGAAAACCATCAGTGGGCTTACAGCATTGAGAGCAAAGGCTGAGTGTTATTTTGCTGAACTTTGGGGCTGTCAAGTGACATGTGCTGAGCAAGAGGCTCCTCTTCTTTTGGCTGGGGCGGAGGTGTCTTTGCAATGCATGCCCAGAATGGTGCTGCAGCCTGCTTGCAGTGTGTGCCAGGCTGGCTCCACACTTACAGAAGGGCCACAGCACTATGCTCAGGAAGAGCTGACAGTACAGGAAAAAGACCTCGGGTAAACGGAGATAAAGCAGGGGTGACACAGTTACCTGCACCAAAGGGTTCTGTGCAGCTTCTGCTCGGGAGAGGTGACATCTCTCCTGCCTCCCCAGCTTCCCTGTCGGGCTCAGTCCGCTCCAGCTCTCCCCTTGTTGTGTGCAGGGTTGCAGGTGGAGGGAAGGAGCACAGACAGGAAAAGGCAGCTGGATCCCAGTATGCAGGGGCAGGCTCCTGCTCTGCTCTTTGCACCAGTTTCACCCTCCCACTGACCTCTGCTGGACCCTCAGTCCACCCTGATCACAGTCAACCCCTCCACTCCTTCCTCTCTAGATGTGCACTTCCTGGCAGTGCTCCCTCCTTCTTCCCTTTACCCCTTCCCTGTTCAGGGGGACTGAGGACAAATGTCTCCATTCCAAGCCAGACCTTACAGCTGACAGTGCCTGGGTCTGTCAGCTGGGTTTTCACAGCTCTGCCTGGAACTTCCCTTTCCCAGAGAGACTTCTAGCCCTAGGAGGTTTACTTGGACCCCAGATATATAAGGTTTCTACCCATGGTGGCAACAGGCAACTCACAAGTGGCCCATTAAGCCTTGTTTTCTTGCTTGAGTATAGAAATCTCCAGATCTCCATCTCTTGATTTGCTGGGCTCAAGGTTGCCGGTCCAGCCTGTGGCAGTGCAGTCAGCAGGAGCTCAATGAGGCCCAATACATGGATGTGCTTGTCAAGAAAACCAGTCAAGAGACTCACAGCCCTGAAGGTTGTTTTCTGTCGTGCTCTCATAGCCATGTCCTGCCTTCTCCTGAGGTCTGGCTGTGTCTGATCTTTGTGCTCACCTTGTGGCATGCTCTGCAGGAATTCTTTTTCTTTTGAGTTCCCTGATTTCCAAGGAACTGCAACTCAGAGAACAGCAGCTTTACTCAGCCTAATTAGGAGCATATGGAGGATGCTGTTAAGGCACTTAGTTCTGATGAACAGAAACATACTTTGGATGTGAAGGAAAAGATATCCCTTAGTTTTCTCAGAAGTGGACCTTCCTGCGCAGCAAAAGGTGGAGGGAGATGTGAAGGTGTGGTGGACACCACAATATGCAAACAGTGTTGTCTTTCCGATGTTTTTCATATTGCCATGTTTAGCCTTGTTAGGGGACAAAATCAGGGTTTTTTTAAATTTTGAATTGTAGCTGATGAAGGCCTCGGGTATCCCCACCCTCATGTGCCTCCATGGCTCCTGCAGGCCTGTGTGGGGTGGGGTGCAGCATCTCTCACCTGTCAGAAGATTTGTTCTGGGGAAGTGCAGGGATGAGCTCTCTATAAATGTGCCAGAACTGCTAGAATGAGCAAAGGTGTTTGCATATGTCTGTGGAGGAGAATTTGCTATAAAAGGAAAAAAAAAAAAAGTTAAAAGATCATGTGAGTAGAACCATTCAGACTAGACCTTGCTGAATTGATCCCAGGCATAGATGATCATTTTGACAGCTACATTTCTTCACAGATTCTAGGAGGCTCAGGTATTAGGACAGTAAAATGATTCCTCCATGACATGAGAGCAAATAACTTTGACTGGAGTTTGAGGATGACACACAGGCTGAAGAGAGAGTAAATTGCTGACTGCACAGAGCAGTCCTGGCTACCTGGCTGACTACTTACATGTCCTTCTTAGCATTTAGTTTCACTTTAATAATATTTAATTTTTTAATCTTAATAGCAGTTCATAATTTGCATTTTGTGTTGTTGATATTTAAAATTTGAAGTGTAATGGCAGGTATTAAAAAGGTCTTTTTTCTTGCTGAGGGTGGCAAAGCAAAGGTTTCAGCAGCTCTAAGCTGATGTCCAACCAATTCAAGCCATAACAGTGAAATGCCTTTTTAAGGGATGATGTTTTTATCTTGAAAGGGGATATTAAAGGAATTGGTTCTTTTCCAGTCACACATCATGACTGGATGAATCTGTACTTTAGCCAAGCATACATCATGCTTGAGAAAAACACAAGTGACTAGTCTTCACATGGAGAAAGCTGTGAGAAATGCAATAGTTGATGAGGTACAGGTGGTCTTGAGTACAAACGGAGTATCTAGTTTAAGTCTGTTGTGGTCTTAAACTCAATGATTCTCCTGCTTGTTTAGCTAAGTTGGATTAAGACTGATAGAACAAATTGTAGTGGCATTCAGAAGCCTGACCAGATGTGTTCCCACAGGAAATGAGGTGATTGCAGTAGACTGGAAGGGACTGAAAGATGTGGACCAAATCAATATGGACAGCACGAGTTCACTGCATGGCAGCAGTTTCCATCGACCTTCCACTGAGGTGAGTGCCTGGCCCAGAGCTACTTAGCCAAGGGGGTGAAAAGTTTGAATTCTGAGTTCAGAAATGGGTGTTGTGCATCACTGAGGCATCATCTGTGAGAGGGCCAGAATCCAGTGAGCTCCTGAGGATCATACCTGGGTAGTTTGGCTTGCTCTGAACAGAATTGAGTCACTCCCTTCACAAGATCCATAGTGAGTAAGAATTTGCAAATGAAAGTGCTTTTCAACCAGTCATGATGGGAGTGGAACACAACATGAGAAAAACAGTGATAGTTCTGACAAGCTTGTAGGTCTGCATTCCTTGAATAAGGGATTCACATTGGAATGTCCAGCACTGTGTCTGTCCCAGCTTCTGCAGCACAGCCATAAAATCTTTTGAATAAACACATTTGTCTGCATTTTGAATTTTAGAGATGCATTCACTAGTAACTCACAGACAATTGACTTACCATGCTATATTTTAAGGGCTGGTTCATTGAATTACTGCAGCTTCTGCATTCTTAGATACCTGAATTTTCAGCTTTTTAAGGTTCAGAGTATGCAATGATGATTAATAAGAAGATAAAATATATTTTACTTGCATAATATTTGAAGAATCACAAATAATGTTCACAAATAAGCTTAACAAATAATATGCAGTTTGAAAAACGTTCATAGGTGTATATAGATATATAGATATTTTTATTTTGTTTGTTTACCTTGCTGGCTTAGAAAGTAATATCAAGACACTTAGAGTTTCGTGGCAGAAATTGTTGGGCCAAATCTTGTATGGAGAATTCAGTCAAATCAGAGCAGATCTAAAAGTCAACGAGCATAAACCACACCTCAGTGAACATTTTGATTTATATGAATGGATACCACAGGTGTAACATGAGTAATCTAAATTTTCCTGAGTGTCTCCATCCCCAAAGCCAAGATGTTAAGATGAATCTTCCCAGCTGAAGGAAACACACTTTGAATTGGTACTGTGATGGCTGATGTGGGAAATGTTTCTGTCTCACAAGGGGCGAGTGAGTCAGAATGGACAAACCAAAACACTGCAGGAGAAAATAATTTCAGCCAGAATTGAGTTACTTGCTGTAGGACACTCAAAATGCAAAGGTGGTGTAGCTCCTCCTTGTGTTAACCTCAAAGTGGTGCAACCCACACTTCAGAGGAGAGCCTTGTGAAAAAGTGCTTTTCTCTTTCCTACTCTGTCACCCTGTTCACTATTTCGCCTTCAAACACCATGACACTCACAGGCACCATAATCACCAGCAGGCAATGAAACCAACTTGAAAGACATAAGTTTTTTATAACATACCAGATAAAGTAGTGCCTGTTGATTGTTGCAAACTACTGGAGTTGTTTGTTACCCTGATGTGGTGCCTTTCTTTGCTTTCTTTAGCAAACACGGACAGATTTCTCCTGGGATGGTATCAATGTGAGTATGCACTGCGTCACTTTTCAAATTTCTAGTCATGGGAAGACCAGGATTTGTTTGACTTTGGATACAGTGGAGGCCAACATGGGAACATGGCTGAAAGTCCTTAGTGCTGCTGAAATTCTGGGAGCGGTCTCCAATTCAGAGGATGGTGATAGATTTTTATTTGCTTCTGAGTCTTTTGCTGTCTGGCAGGTATTTGATCTGTAGGTGGCTGTTGAATTGCTTTCATCCTTTTGAGGACAAATGTGTGCCATTTCATATGTCCTGCTTTTGAGGTATCTGGGCACTGCTACATAAGAAAGGTGTCTGTCCAGCATATTTTAAAAAATAGTAGTCCTTGATTAGAGCATCATTTGATCTTCTCCAGGAGTTTGGGAGAAATGTCTCCCTCATTTTCAGTTGCACATGGAAGTAACAGATTTTATGTTTATGTCTCCTAGGGTAGATGGTGAGTATCAGTTAACTTCAGTTAAAAAGCAGATGAGAAACAAGCAAACATTTTAGTTACACATGTTCCTTTTGCTCTTAATACCTGTGCTATGAAATTTTTTTTTTCTTTTTTACTAATGCAGAAACAGCATACTGAGAACATATTTGCTCTACTGGACTTTTTTAAAGGGTACTTATAAAATATTTTCACATAAGTTAATCTTATAGTTTTGTACACTTGGAAGGACAGGATTAGCAACTCTATTTTGAGTAGTATAACTGTTTTCAAATTCTAGATTCTTTCAAAAAATTTAAAATACCTGTAGCTTTCTTCTTTACTGTGATTTGAAAGCACATGGAACACTGAATGTATTTTTAACTAATTCTCACCTCTTTGATTGGGGCACTTATGGCTTGGGATCTTTTGCCTAGGATCAATTACAGAAACACATTGTGTTGGAAAATAATGGTGCATGCAGCAACTGTCTAGAAGAAATTTGTCCTTTTTTTCCCTCACTGCACCTATGTCTAGCTGAAAGCAAAGTACACAAGGTCATGTTTCCTTAAAGAAAGTAGAAGACAGTTTCCTTACTTGCAGTTTCCCATTTTCCAACCCATACAGAATCCATGGAACTCTTTCACGAGGCAGCTCTTACCCAGTGTAATTCCATAGATCTTCATTGTTACCCAAGCTGGATCATGAATTTCCTTCTGTTCCCATTCATTCCTGCCTTCATGTCACAGCTCTTCAACCTTGCAGTAGTGGGAGCCCTCTGCAATTTACTTTCTTTTTTTTGATGGGTTCCATGGGGCAGCTCACAGCACAGCCCCCACGCTGTCTTGGAACCAGTGGGTGGATACTGAGCAGGAGCACCCAGGCAGGAATGACCAGTGGGGTGTAGATGGACTTTCTCAACAAGCTTCATCACCAAAGGAAATGCATCATGGAACAAGGGCTGTGCTCTCACTTTTGACTGTTCTTCCTCTACTTTCTGATTTCTTCAGCTCACATTACACATGGCATATTCCTGGCTCCACAGTTACAGGATGCTTTAGCTGCTGCATTTACACTCAGTTTCCAGAAAAACTCACCTCTCATATTTTGGCAACTGACTGGAATTATACACAGTGCGAGATCTTTACAATGCCTTCCTTTGCCTCCAATTACTTTGCTGCCCAGTTACTGCTCCACTCACTTTTTGTGAGGTCTGCGCCTATGTCCAAGTATTGTTTTGTGTCAGGATTTAAAATTTCCAGTGTCATAGTCACTACTTTTGAATATCCTTGTGTTTGAAACATTCTGGCCTTGATTTTCAGAGAGGTTGAAATGAAGAGCAGAAGCAATGTTTATTTAGCCCTTGTGAAAGTTAAGCCTCATATGCAATGCCTGGCATCTCTGAAGAAGCCTGATGAATTCATCTTGAGAGATTATTTTTGTGATGATGTTTGTGACGGCTGCCTGTCCCAATAGTGCCCTGTCCTTGTTATTCAGGGACTGAGGATAAAAATAGAAAAGACAGTCAAGAAAATTAAACAGAGCTGTACACCAAATTTCTTTACAGATGTAGGTGCTTGAAACAGGACCCATCACTGATGCAGTCATGATCATTTTATAAGATGACTTTTATATAAGACTATATAAAAAGAAAAAAAACCTCAAAGTAATAAAAAATTGGTAGTGTGATGCATATATGATACATTACTGTGTCTTGCCTATTGCACTGACAGCTCCCCACTGCAAGATCCCTGAGTTGTTCCACAGCCATGTCTTGCGTCTCTAACAAAGAGTTGGGAATGGAAAACAAGTGTGTCTGCGGAAGACTGGCAGCTGCCAATGGGAGACTTCTCACTGCCACTTTCTGCCTCTCCCTCTGGCCTTGCCTCAGTCATTCCCAGTGCTGTGCAATACCCAGTCCTGGTTAAACAGCCTCTAATTTTCTTTTCCTTCTTTTGTTCTTACTGGTTGCTTCTGCTCCTCATCTTCCAACTACCTATTGTTTTCTCACTTCAACTTGCTTCCTTTTCTCCTTGCTGTATATCATTTCTTCATATTCTCTCTCTTTTCAGCTCTCCATGGAAGATACGACCTCCATCCTTCCCAAGCTGAAACGCAACTCCAATGCTTATGGGATTGGGGCTTTGGCTAAATCATCTTTCTCTGGTGAGGTCCTCAAAATTTGACTTTATCCTTGGCAGCTTCTCTCCACAGGCCTTTGTGCCTCTTCCCATATCTCTCTGTCACTCTCACAACTGCTCCTTTCTGGCTTTCGCCTTTTCATGGCCTTAGAGGAGTCTCCACCACCGTGGTTCTAAATACGGAAGTCTCACAGTTGTTGCCCTTTTAAAGAACGGATTTGTCTTATCCTGTTGGCTTCTCAGTGTGCACCCCTGCTCAGACATCTTCAATTGCTTCACCTCAGTCTTGGGTTTAACCCCATTTTCTGTTTCTTAGTTTGTTCACTTCCAGGCTTCATCCTTCATGCCCAGCTCTATCCTAAACGGATTCTAGGCAAGGAAGGAAATGGTCTTTCATATTTGGGGCTCCCCTTTTTCCCCCTTCTGAGAGTTTGTCCAGGGAAAGATGGAGAAACTCCCCTGGAGAGTGATGCAGTGAAAGGTGGGAGACACCCAGCCCTAATCACGCATCCTGTCAGGAAGGGAGGGGAGAAGCTCCACTAAGAGAGGTAAAAAGCGCGGCCGAAAAGGCCGGAGCTCTGTAATAGCCCTGCCTTGCTTCCCAATGTCTGGCCCCTTAGGGATATCCCGCAGCATGAAGGACCACGTGACGAAGCCGACGGCGATGGGGCAGGGGCGCGTGGCTCACATGATCGAGTGGCAGGGCTGGGGCAAGGCCCACAGCCAGCAGCAGCAGCACACGCACGAGACCGCGCGCAAGGACGCCGACGCCTACTCGGACCTCAGCGACGGCGAGAAGGAGGCGCGCTTCCTCGCAGGTAGCGCTGCCTTCCCTCTGCCACGGGGGTTGGACGCGTTGGGGTGTCCCACGGCGGAATCCCTGAGAGATTCCAAAGTGCAGACGCTCGAGGAAAGCACTAAGGGAGAGGCTGTGGGTGGTTCAGGTGGCTGAAGTAGAGAGAGACTTTGATGGTTGGGATATTGCCGGTGGAATGCAAGGTGGGGAGGCTGAGAGCCACTTGGGGGTGATAGGTGTTGCTTAGATAGGGCCAGAGTGGGACAATGTGACCAAAAGATGGGTCAAGGATGATGGTGAAAGCGCAGACTTTGACGCATCTTTGCTTTCCTTCCCTGTCTCCTTTGGCACAGGGGTGATGGAGCAATTTGCTATTTCTGAAGCGACTCTCATGGCCTGGTCCTCCATGGATGGTGAGGATGTCAGTGTAAACTCAAATCAGGACAACCCAGCAGGCAACTACTCTGAGAACTATCAGGAGCTGATGGAGAGCCAAGGTGAGCTCCAGTGTTTCTTGTTAATTTTAAGACACCCCCTTCCTGCTCTGGTTGTCATGTTGCTCTCTTTTGCTCTACCCTGTTTTATTTTGAAGCCCCAGTCAAATCTGCTAGAGTCATCCCTGTTTGTGGAGCTGTCTCCAAGGAATCTAATCTTAGCAGAGAGTTTCCAAAGCCCAGTTCCTTTTGCCTTTTTAGAGCACAGCTGTGGAAAGCTACCAGCTCTTGGCAGTCAGTTGTGGGTATCAAGGTCACCTGCCAAATGCCCAGAGCTGTGTTTTCTCTTTGCCCTCCTTCCCTCTAAAGGATTCACCCACCCTGTGCAGTACCATGCCATGAACAGGAAATAGGCTACCTGGATGAGCCAGCCTGACCTAGGGAGAGTGTCTAACTGTGTGTTTGCCTCCTTTGCTTGCAGAGCACATGGCCCAGACGCAGTATGACAGCTGGCCTCATTCCTACGTCTCGCAGGGCATGTATTGCTTAGGTTCCTCCGACGCCTGGGAGGCCAGTGACCAGTCCCTCATCGCCTCCCCAGCAACCGGCTCCTACCTAGGCCAGAATTTTGATGAGTCCCAGACAAACCTTCAGGAAAGCATTTTGCTTCAGAGTGGCTTCCTCCAGCAGCAGCAGCTGCAGCAACAGCGGCAGGAGCAGAACTTCATCCAGAGCACGGGGCTGGTCCACGTGTGGCCCCTGCAGACTGCTCAGGGTGGGGGTGGAGCTGAGTCCAGCACGTACATGGAGGACCACATTGAGGATGAAGGGAACCCAAGGCTGGAGAAGGCTCCTCTCCTAAACAAGAAACCATCTCCGGAGGAGGATGATGCAGTGTGCCGGGACCTGGAATCTTTGTCTCCTCGAGAGGAGATGGAACATGCTGCACTGAGCCGCAAAGTCTCAGATGTCACCTCCTCTGGGGTGCAGTCCTTTGATGAGGAAGAAGGAGAAACAAACAACTGATGCTTTCTGTGAAGTTCTCATCATTGCTGAACAAAGAGAGGGGTGGCAAGGAATGCAATTACAGGGATTCTTCTTTCCAGCTCCCCATATTTCCAAGAAGACACACCTTCCATTTCTGACATTTAATTATTTTTTTAAGCAAGGAATATCTCAAAGTGATTGACACATAAAAACCTTTTCTTCCCCTCCCTCATGGACACATATTTTGGATTTTGATTGCTCTGGGCAACATGTCATGTGCTTGGAGAGATCTGGATTGGTAAATAATTTCTATACCTTTTTAATACAAAGTCTTGGCTGTGGATACAAACTCTTCTGGTACTGGGAATGTGGCTGATGAGACAGGCTTGGTGTAGGGAGCAGCTTTGTGGCTAGAATTCATCTTGGCAGAATGGATGTTGCTCTGTGGACATGGGCCCCTTCTATCTCATAGAATATATGAATATAAACTGGTTTAAAATGAAGATGTGGCTTTGCAGATCTAGATTGCACTAGCGCTGGGATTGTGAATGTTGCAGAGGATCAGGCCATGGAGGATGTGCTGTGTAACCAGATCCTCAGCAGCACCTTGATACAAAGCTGTAGATGTGATGGATACGAACGGTGCTCCCAGGGCCCGGGCTGTGCTGCCAGTGTGGCTCTGCTGTGGCATGGATGAATGGGTGCAGATACGAATCTTACCCTGCTCTCAGATATTTATGCTTTGGTCTCTTTAATTTATTTGTTTCTCTCTTTGACATTTCTGCTTTCCCAGGAGCTGGCAAGAGTGGTGTGTCCTTTTGGCAGTGAGCACTGGAAGCCAGTGGAAAGGACATTTTCAGCTACAGAGACAGTCATAAAAAGTGACTCTTGCAGGGGGCTTGAGGACATGCCCATCTTGGTGCTGCTGCTGTGCCCGTCTGTCTTTTCCTTGCCAGCAGAATGGGAGACCCAGAGAGTAGGCAGCAGGTCCAGGAACAGTGTGTACAGTTATGAGATCACAGATACCTAGTTTACATTAGAGTTTTCAGTTTTTGCGCTTTTTTTAAACCTTTTTATATGCTGGATAAGTGTTCATAACAAAGCAGTTAGTTTGGGAAAGGCCTGTACTCCAGTCAGACTTAACAGAAATACTGCACCTTTCCCATTTCTGCCACTCCTGCTGTGCCAAATATAGCTGGATGAAAAGGGTGAGAGGAAATTTTCTCCTCCTATTTGTCTTTTTCTTCTTCCTATGTTTTCTTATTTTGTTTTCCTATCCCCAAGTGGTGTAAATAATGCTCAGTACTTGTTCTGTTTGTTTTTCCCTCCCATCTCTTTTTTAGGTGTGGAGAAAGCTGATTTCAGGAGTTTCCCCTATTTGTATGGGTGATATATTTTTTGTTTAAAAAACCATGATTCTCTAAGTAGGGGGAATTGGTCTCTTGCAATTCCTCGCCATTTTTTTACAGACCTCCTTTTGGGAGGGAGAGGTTTTGAAAGGAAATTGTTTCACTTTCAGCTCTCACCAGAAAATAAACAGGGACAAAAGCAAAAATTACATAAGGTTATTGATTTTGCTGGAGGACTGAACAGAACCAGCAGAGATTACCTAAGTGCTGAGGTTGAATTGCAAGACCTCTTGCAAGGAAGTGTCAGCAGAGCATGGGTGTAGATCAGATGCTGGATCTGATGAGCTAGAGAAAGGAATTTGCCTGGACACTGCCATACTGTTCCAGGAGCAACTCTTTCTCACTTACTCTGACTCATATTTGCTCTGTTTAATTCATGATACATTTGTCTCTTCTTTGCCTCCTCTTCAGGCTTGGTGTGTTTTTTGGATGACAGGAGAGTGATACATGCTTCTTTCCTGCTTCAGGTTCAGTTCCTGCATATTTTCAGGGAAGAATGTCTAAGGCGAACAAAATGTGACTGAAGGAATATCATCAAGTCTCAGAATTTAGACAGCTCCTGGCAAGCAAAGCAAATGATGTCCAGGAATTGTGAAAAGTAGGAATGGGACTCTCAGGAAGAACTTTACCCCAAGCAGCTTTTTCCCACTGACACAGGCAGCTGCAAAAAGAGGGACTCCTTTTTCAATACCCAGGTCTTTCCAGCCAAGTCCACTTCAAGCAGATCTGTCTTCCCTCTCCATTGCACCTCAAAATGAAAGACCTCTGGGATGTTTAAGTAAGATTGGTAATTTGGAGTGGGTAAGAGAGAAAAGTTTTTGTGACCCATCTTTTTTTACGTGTTTGCTTGGTCTTGCTTCTGTCTTTCTAAGGGGCTCGCTCCTCTCCTGAGTGATGAGCTTTCAGTATCTCTTCAAAGATGTTTACACATTCAGGTACTAACCTCCCCTGAGCAGCAAGACTTGATAAAAATGATCTCCTATAGTTCTTGCAGGGCCAGTGGTAGCTCATTGTCCTGAATTAGCTCAGGTCCAGCTGTGGAACAGGGCCTGGGAAATCACACTAGCCAGAAAAGGGAGATGGGGCAAGTGCCAGGAGCACTTCAGCAGATGAGTAAATAAGTAGGTTTAAAGCTATTTTTATTTATTTTTTAAAAGGTCTTCAGGGAAACAAAAATGGTTGGGTGTATACCTTTGTGGGAGATTTGGGTGGCTTGTTGTTTCTTTCTCCAAACCATTTTGTTCCCATGTGCCTCTCCAGGACCAATCTGGATGTTTACAGTGACTTTCAGAGTAGCTTCTAATGATCCCTTTGTGTTGTTTACAGGACTGGGACAAATGGGTCAACTTGTCCAGGGCTTCTTTTTCTTTAATATGGACATGTGGTACATTTACTAAGATGTCTGATTGATGTCTAAAAGATATACCTTATCTCCATGGAAAGCAGCGACAGGGAGTTACCTACATAAGGAAAAGTGTGAAAAAAATTGATCATATAGAAAATTCTGTGGAATCCAATAGGAAGAGAAAATCTGTAGATTCTTCTAGCCTCTGTGGAATTGGGATAAAGAATTATACCCTGCTGTATAGTTCCATAACCTGCTGTCTTAGAAACCTGTAGAGAGCTTCATTCTCTGTGAATGCAGACTGGTTTGAACACCACTCTCTGTAAAAATCTTCCAGCTTACTAAATTCTGTAATTTTTTTTTCATAAATGTCTTAATATTCTGTGAATAATAAAATTTCAGCCTTTTCCTGAAAGAAAGAAAAAGGCTATTTTCCATACCTCTCCACAATCCAAAAGATCTTCCTGTCCACACTTGCCACCCGAGTGAGCAGCCTGAGCTGAACTGGAAAGGCAGTCTGAATCTCTTTGAAACTGGAAAATTGTTTGTGTAATCTGGCCTTTTCTTACATAACAAGCCTGCTGCCTGTGTGTATCCAATACCAGAGAGAGAGACCTGGAACCTACTGTACATTTCCCAGAAAAGCTCTTATTTTATAGACACACCTATTCAAGCATATGGGAGGCACAGGTGCTCTGTGAGTGGAATTGGCCTGCAGTCCCTTTATCCTGGTGAGGGGGGATGAGTTGAAGCGAGTCCAGCCAAATAGAGCCCAAAGTGTGTTTGTGAGGCTGTAAATAAGAAGGGAAGGTGAGCTCAGTATCCCTGATCTGCAGTTACTAAGAAACAGAGCTCTGCTCTTTGTTTCCACAAACCTATTATGAAGCAAAGCTACACTACAGAAAATTTGGGATATTCTTGAAGTAGTGGAGGTAGAAGATTCTCATCTTTTCTCCAAGCCTTTGTCTTTAGTAGGAACTTGTTGAAATTACTGTGCTAAACATGAAATAATGTTTAACCAGAAGTGACCCTAATTTAAAATCTTCTACTGCAAGAAAATTCTCTCTTGTTCCTTCTCCCATGATTGCTCATGCCTGATTAGTTATACTATTTCATAAGCTTTTCTTTTATATAAATCTGAAGCTTTCTTTACAAGCCTTCTGGGTTCTCTTCAGTTCCATTACCTCAGGCTCTGGGACAGAGAAGTTAATCTGCTTCTTTCAGTTTCTGTGCCTCTAAATCATCATCTTCTTTTGGAAAGCTGCTGACAAGTCATCCACTTGCTTTCCCCCTTAAAAAATGGTAACACCACCTTTCAGGACAGGCTTGCTGCAGAGAACAGAACATGCTTCTAAGCTGATCCAGTGGTGAGCTGCTTGGAAGGAAGAGGAACTCTGCTCTGGCCATGCTCACCTCCCACAGCCCTTGGGCAGGTGCTGGTGCACAGCTGGCCCCCATGAAGCCAGGGACTTTTACCCTGCTATAAAAGTGAAGATGGGAGAGCTGTGAGCAGAGGCACAAAAGGTGCTGTTCTCAGCAGCTGGCCTTCCTTTATATCAGGTTGGAGAAACTGGGAAAGTGCACTTTGAAATGGCATCTTCATGATGGGTCTTAAGCTGCTCACAGGAGCTGTCCTGCCTCCTCTCTTCCACCACCAGCAGCTCTGTACTTCTACTGCCTAAAAAGCACCAGCACTAACACTCATTTGGCTGCTCAGGAATTGGCCCCATTGAAAACTAACCCAGTCCCCTACCTAAATAAAGGTTTCAGTGGGACGAACTCTTCATATTGCTTCTCTTGGTGAGGCAGGCATCACTGAGGGCTGGTGAAACTTGTAGATGGTCATGTGGAAGACTGATTGCAGATGCAACTTAAATTGGCTTAAGCTGATTGTGATTTGTCTGTCTGAAAAGAATAAGAACCCACTAGGGTACCAGGAAGGACATTATTCCCCATTTTCTTCCTTAGTGTTTTCCTTGGAATTTTTAGTATGCTCTTATTTGATTTGGTCTTTGTTATTTATGCCCTGTTGTTTCCCTCACTGTTCCCTTCCACAGGCCCCTTGGAGGTAAACCCTGGAAATTGGGCAGGAGGACATGACTAACTTGATATATGCGTGAAATTAATAAAATTAACATGCACAAATCATGTATACACTCAGTGATTAAACTCCATGGCAGCTAAAGATACTGAAAAGTCTTACCCTGTAATTGCAAGAGGGGAGATTTGTTTAATAGTGAGACATAGCTGTTGGAAGGGATTTTTATCCCTATTTTCAGGCCAGTTCCACTCCAGTGTGAGATACAGAAGAGTATGCTGTATCTCTGCATGCTGTGCTGTGCACAGCAACAATGAAAAATGTTAGTTGTAGCCCTGGAGAACTGGAAAAGAAAATCATCTCTGTGACAGAGGTAGGAGGTGTTGTGGTGAGGCAAGGTTGTGTGCAACAGTACAGGGCTGTGCACCACTGTGTGTGGCAGAGAGGGAAAGACATGGAGAGAAAGGCTTGGAAAAAGGTCAAGAAAAGCTTAATGACTTTTGTTTGCATAACACAGGTAAGAAGCTTCATGGCAGACTCCCAGCAGAGTGGACTGAGGTGGAGAATTGCTATACAAGCTGTAGGTCCAGGATTGTTGCAGCTTATGGTACTTCTTAGTCCAAGCCACACTTTTTTTTTTTTTTAAGACAGTGAAAGAGACCTCCCTGAATTTGGGTACCTGCTAGCTTCTTTTTCATTGTCTTAAAAAAACACTTCACAGTGTGCTTAGTTCTTCAGGGAAATCGTATGAGAAATACACAAAAAAGGAACTTACTCCTTGCCCAAATGAAGTTAGTGTGAGTTCTGATCTCACTGGAAAGCCAAAATACCTAAATTCAGCTTAGTTTGCCTTAACTGTTGTATGGATAATTGCCTAGAAGGAGAAGCAAACTCAGATAACCTGCCTCTAAATGCTATAAAAAACAGAGCAACATCGGCAAAGTGTAAGCTCTTCCTTCTAATTTTTCCCAGGTGAATTTTCCAGTGTTACTTGTTCAGATAACTCTGGCATATCTTTTAAACTAACTGTTTGACTTTTTCTAAAAGAAAAAAAAAAAATTCCAATACAGAGATTATCAGCAGCTTACAATTAGAAAAATGTGAATAAGTAATACTTTCATCTTTGATTTTCCTCCCCTGTAGCAGTCTGACAGGGAAAGATTTCTATGCCATGGCTCAGGGAAAGGAAAAATAAACAGGGAAAATATGAGTAAAATGGTGCCTATTAGAACTAAATGTATGTGTAGGACAGCCTACAGTCATTAAAGCACAGTCTCAAATACGATTGCAAGCTGTAAAGTCAATGTCAGGTGCCTCTTTTGTACCATAGGCTTTTCCCAGGCTTAGCAGTAGTGAACCTGTGCAGAAGCAGAAGAGCTGCACTTCTGTGCCAGATCAGTGTCTCTCTGTGACTCAGAATATGTCATGGAGCCTGAGGGCACTGTGCCCTCTCAGCACCACAACCAGCTCCATGGATTGACTGGGGTCAGGCATGAGGGTTATGGTGTTAACAAATGGACATGGAAGATCTACACTTGCAACATCAGGGTCTGTTTACATCCTTGCACTGACATTTTCCCCCAGCATAGGCAGACCAAAGTGTTATTTTTTCCATGGAAATGAAGAGAAGCTCTATGATTGTCAGTGTTGGTCTGCACAAAAGAAAAGAAATATGTGATGTATTTTTTAAGTGCAGATACACATTGTTGGAAGAAGTAAAATGTAGTCAGGCTGTGATTCTGAGAAAGAGCATGTTTACTGAAACTGTGAAGACTTGTTCAAGAATGTTTTCAGTGCAGATTCCACAGAATCACAGAATTGTTGGAAGGGACCCTAAAGATCATCAAGTCCAACCCCTCTGCCATGGGCAGGACACATCTACTGCTGTGTAGTAGCTGCTGTCTTCTGGGAAGAGAGGGGTTGCAGTGTTCTGTGGAAAGAATGCTCCTGCTAGGATCTTCCTCATCTTCTTCAGCCGGGGACATTTTAAATGCCCTCTGAAACCTAGTCTTGTTTTTGCTTTCCCATAAGGGATCAAATGCCCATGCTTGCAAGAAAAAAACATCTAAAACCATCTTTTCTCCATTATGGAAACAAGATTGTGCATCAAGATTTGCTTCTAATAAGATAAAAGCATGTAGTCCAGATTCATTGGCCTTCTGGATTCATTTTCATTGGGCATGGAAATCCAGTCATGATTGGATTGGAGGCCACAAGGTTAAGAACCCTCTTCCAGAGCTCTGCCATGCTCATGTGAGACAAGTGTAGGTTGACTTCCCTTCTTTGCAGATACTGCATGCTTGAGCAACGTAGCAAGTCAAAAGCTCTTTTGCAGGTATATATTCTTGTTTGGCTTTAATTTTTCTTCTCTGATTTGTGGATGTTGTGCATGATTGGAGGTCTCTGGGAATCTCTACACTATAAAACTGGAACTCAAAAGTAATTTTACAAGGAACAAGATTTCTCTTGTTTGAGCTCTTTTCAGACATGGGTGGGTACAGGCAGAGGATTTGGGAGGTACAAGGGTGGTGGATGGGAGTCTCAGGGGTGGCATGCAGAATGGATTCCTGAAGCATGTGTAAAAATAACTAAAGGCTTGGGTCGTCAAATGTTGTATTCTCAGTATCTGAAACTACTTCAGCATAACCATATGGGACAATGGAGGTTGCTGCAAAGCAGTTTTCAAGGACTTCCCCCAAGCCTGTACTGTTTTCTGTAGCGGGGAGGCTGCATGGTGATTATGTGTATCCTTTTGAGCTAGTGTTTACAGAGGTGCATTGATGTTTGGGGAGAAAGTACTGAATGGAAGTAAAACAAAAAGGGAAAGGGACCCACTACTGAAAGCTTTCATCCTTACATTGTCCCACACTAGCCCTTAATAACTAAAACGAGTCTGATTTGCCTTTGGTCTTCCAGCTCCAAAACATGTTTGCCTGAAAATTTTTGTTGGATATACTTCGCATGTTTTGATAATGTGACTTATGAGATAAACACTTCTACAAAGCTATATATAAATACATCCATGTGCAACCACCTGCATACATGTGCACACATTACATATAGACTTAGAGAACTATATGGCACTACACACCTCCATGCCTGTATGTGGCAGCAACCACAGTAAAGGAGGGGAGGTAGCTCAAAACAGCATGTACAGTCCTTTATGGAGTTGTTATTAAACAGAATGTGGTCTTGCCCTCCTGGCTGGTGGAAGTGTTTTATTTCTGTGGGACTGGTTCCAGGGGAGTTGCGTCTGAGGAAGGAGGATCCCAGGAAGAGGGGGTGGGTTTCAAGGAGATAGTCTGATGGAGCACCTTGAAAAGGATCCATGGTGGCTTGGAGAAGAACCCCAGAGTAGGAAGTATCTGGTTTCTCATTAAGAAAGAACATCACATGTTGGACTATATAGGGTTAAAATCTGATGTGTGTCTGTGATTACCAGGACATGAATCCTAGGCCAGATTTGAGGATAGAAAGCATCACATCAACACAACCCTCTAATTTAGCACAGAGTGAGTTTTCCTGTTCTACTGAATGAGCATTTTCCAGGTGATACACACAGATTTTGTCCCAATATTGGTGAGATGCAGACATATCTGACTCAGAGTTGGACAGAAATTTCACAACAGCCCATTAGGACACAGAAAGGTGTCTGATGCTTAGGTTGTAAAAGGCACTGACATTGGATGGCACAACTCTGGATTGACATTTCAGTTTTAAATACTTCTCAGCCTCCTGTCCTCATAGCAGATTGGAGAATTGGTCGACCCAGAGGGAATAAAACATCTCTGCACTTCCAACATTATTTTGTCAGCTGCTTCTGATGCAGGACATTGGGCAGATCACTTGTTTGCCATATGAGACTTTTAAATTCTGGCCATAAATGGTATTACTTCCTTGTCAAGATACTTGTGCTTTTCAGATTCTGTTTCTTCCAGGAGCTAAGCAGTGTCTCTTGCCCTGCTTAAGGCATAGCATATTTTACAACCAGGGCTATTGCACTGATTTTTGCTTTCTGTGTTCTGTTTGAATTCAATTTGCTTCTTTCCAGTTTACCTGCTTTTGCTACTGAATAGATTGCCACCCACCAATTGGTATGTATGTCTGCATAACTGTATTCATAGAATTAATTGTGACTTGCATAAGACATGTTTATTTAACTGCTTTAGGTTTTTGTTTGTTGTTTTTTGAGGGCTTTTTAAAAATGTTATTTTTCTTAATCCTTGTCAGCCTCCCCTGTACTCTCTCCTGGTTTTGTGTGTGGTTTTTGTTTGTTTTGTTCTTTTGTTGTTGATGTTGTTATTTTGTGGTTTTTGTGGTTTTGGTTTGTTTGTTTGTTTGTTTTCCAAATGGCCTCTAACCTACTTTCTTCTTGAAATGTAGTGTGTCAAATGAAATCAGCTATTCCACATATGTTTAAGACTTGAGTCCCTGAGAAAACAAAATGTCTCTCGTCCTGGAAGTCATACCTCTGCATAGGAAAAATGTCTTTTTTCCTTAATTTCACATTATGCTGCAAAGATGCTGTCCAGCTGCTGAATGTTTCACCTAAAAGAACTCTTCTGTCATCATACTAGATTAGACTTACCCCTCAGTTAAGTTCATCTTCTCTGGATTTAGCTGCTGCCCCAGCATGAACCTTATTCTGTGGTATCTGCCCGAGGCTCTCATCTCCATTTTCTGCTTATTTCTTTGTTTAGACTAGATGGCAAACCTACCATATGTTTCTCTCACGTTGCTGTTTTACAATACCTCATATGTTACTTCTAAGTGATTAATGAGAAAGGTAACTAAAAAGGGCATAAGAGCATTCTTCCTGTACACCTCACTGGATCTGCACTTTGCCAGCTGCAAGGGTACTTTCTACACAGTTCCTCAGACAGATCCTATCTCCTGTGCCAGAGAAATTGCCAGTTTGAGTTAAGCATAGGATTCTGTGACATGTTTGGTCACAATCCAGCCGTCTCAGCTCCCATTTCTTTTCACAGCCTGTTTGCTTAAGTGCACTATAGAACTTTGAGGGGGGAGAGAAAAGCAGATTTTTTTTTTTTTTCATTTCAAATGTATTTCTCATAAACCTTCCATTACTGTTTCTTGCATTTGTTTCTGTGTGGGAAAAACCAGAAAAGCTTCTAACTTGAGTTTGTGTGGCTTTAATTCTGACTATATCTCAGTATACCTTTTAGCTTTACCTTCTGTTCTTCTAATTGAGTAGCCATTCAGTAAAGAGCCAGATACTAGCAGTACTTAAGTTGTTGGTCCTCTAAAGTAGGCAATTCACATTTTCATTTCTCTGCATTCTGTTTCATTTATGAATTTGCTACTGGACTTTTCCTCTGCTGGACGTTGTCCTCCGTATCAGGTGCAATTCTCCAAGTTGGCTAGGTATGTTTCTGTAACTGGTTTTACTACATAGCACAAGATGTTTGCAGTAGGAGCACACTAAAAAGACAGGATGGGAGCAGATGCTAATTTGAAAGACCAGTGCTTGAAGCAGTGATAGGTTTGGGTGAGATTACCTCGTTTAGCCATCACACTAATCCCAGCAGTGTCCACAGCAGAGTCTTGCTTGTCTTACGATGAAGCTGCACTGGATCTTGATGGCAGCCAGCAAGCTGAGGGGAGCAGAGATGTGGCTCAAGGCACTGGAAACTGAAATGAAGAGTTTTCTGCTACTGCACAGCTGTGATTTGACAGAGGTGATGTTTGTGTGTGTGCCTGAGTGTGTGTGCAAAGGGTTGTCTGTCCAGGGGCTGGGAGGACACACAAGAACAGCCTGTGGCTCACAGTCAGGACCAGTTTAAGCTTGTCTCCCACAAGCATTAAAAACACAGCATTAAAAAGTTTCGCATCACATCTTAAGACCCTAACCCTAATGCTCAGGCATGGCTTTTATGTGTAAATTTTAATTATTGGTCTCAAGTATTGATTATATTTTTATGACAGCTGTGCCCAGATATCTGCTTATGTGGCTATGAGCAACTTAGTGCTTGCTGTGACTGTATTTTAGTAGTGTGTTTTTAATTATACCCTACCTGGGTTTGGACTAATTTGGCAAAAAGGGATCTTCTCTTGCTGGTTATTGCTGGTCTTGTACTTTTTGGCCACAAAACACACACTTCTATACAGTATCCACATAACTGGCCAGAAGGGGGATGTTGTTTTTATAGACTGTCTCTCTGTTTCTACCTGTACTGTTTTTGTCCATAGGCTTAGAATTTCTTTAGTCACAAATGGCAACCAAAAATGTTACTTTGTTGAGGCAAATCTTTCTTGTTCATCTCCATGTGTTTTCTCCTTTATTCAGCTCATGGCCAAGTCTCTTAGTTGTGTCATAGCTACCTAAAGCCCCACTTGTTGTCTTACCAACATTGTCTTCCCTATTTTTTAAAATTCTTTATATTGATGAATTCAAAAACAAGACTGTGCTTTCACCCTTAACTGCCATGTGAAAGGAAGAGTTCACTTTTTTGCTAGATTTGAATTTCTGTCTGGATGGGAAGACCTCACAGCTGATACAAATTCTGAGGCTTGAGAAAAGAAAATTTTTCCCTGTAGCAAATCAAATCTGTGCTATTTGGACAGGATGGGAGATGCGGGTTTTAAAGTGACAGATCAGTGTGACTTTGTTTGCTGGAAAAAAGTTTCAAGTTTAAATTTTGAGGGGGAGTGTAGTGGGATAGCCTGAGAGGGCACAAGCTTAAAGTTCCCTTAACAATGGTAGGTTTAGTATTATTTTTCTGCACATTTTGCAATTATTAATGTACTTGGCATCAACTCAGTGAAGATTTTATTGATAAGATGGAAGTGGAAACAACTTCAGCATTTGCAAACCATCTTTGCAGAGTGTTTTTTGTCCCATCCTGGCTCCATATGCATTTGCATGTATGAATAAAGGTGAGAAAATGGTGCAGATGGATGCTGCTTCTGTTCCATGAGTGGAGGCAATACCTGGAATGGATCTTGAGTAGTGTCCACAAAGAGCAGCAGTTACAGCCACCCTTCAGCTCCCCCCAAGAAAGCAATCCTGCTCCTCACAGTAACCCAGGCACAGCTGAAGGCACTAGGAATGGAGAGGTACCTGTGTGTGCATGTGTGGGCACACGTGTGTTCCCTTGCCATCTCAAGTGATAAGCCTCAAGATGCTTTCCAGGTTAGCCAGTGTTTCACTCCCCAAGCCTCTCCACGTGCATCATTTTTTGTTCCAGCTTCATGTCCCTCAGCTCACAATCTGTCTGTCGTGACTCACACACTCACTGGCTTTGATTTAGACTCCCATCTGCTTTCTCAGAAAGTCACATCCCAGTTCTGCTGTAACACACTGTAGGAGAAGTGTGGGACTGGAGCAGAGCATATATCTGTATTCAGGAGAGAGGAGGGGGAGGTGTGCTGACTCCAGCCTCAAAGTTTCTCCTTGTCTCATCTGTCTCAGTGGATGCCTGTGGTTAAGCTGTAAAATATAAGTCTGCACAGTAAGGCTGGGGATGACTTTGAGAAACTCATCCTTCTTGAGTGTGCTTGGACCCTCAGACCAGATTTGGTCTCAGTGTTGTCCCTCATTGAATATTTATGATTTTGTAAAAGGAATGTCCTTTCTCCTCTGCTTATATAAGGGACTATCACGATTCACAGAGAGAAAAAAAAAAAGGCAGTTGTTCTGCCTCTTCCCTGCAGTCAGCAGAAGGTGACACAAAGGTAGTGTGGAGGCTGTGCTGATGCCTGGCAGACACAGACGTGCCCCTCTGGTGGAGCCAAGCAGCTGCTGTGTGCCAGGGACTTGCCCTCAGATCACCACTGTCTCCTCACAAGGACAGGGTGGCTCCTGGTCATTGAGGCAGGGAAAGGATGTCCCCAGTTAGCTTATCAAGGGTGATCTTGTGCCTTAAACAGAACAGACCTGGTGGGCTCTGAATTCCAGACAGCAATAAGAAATTTTTCTCTCTGCAAGAGACTAGTGGGGAAGATTTCCTTCTCCTGTAAGCTTGTCACAGACTCTCCCACCCATAAGCATCATCAAAGAACAATTGGTGCAAGGTCAATCCTTGGAATTAAAGCCAGGAGGGAATTTTCCTTTGGTGACTGGGTAAGAAGTAATGATATTTCTGACTTGCTCCTGAGAGAGCTTATGGAAAATCATGTGTCAAAGTAGAACTGGTCACTCTAAGTTAGAGAATGCTTTACAAATACCAGGTAGGGGAATGAGATTACTTCCAACAATGTATTTTCAGAGCTTGGATTTCTTCTCTGTTGCTGATAAGTGGAAACACATCTAATAGGCTGCTTGGGACTGTATCTAAGTGCTATGAGACACCAAAAATATGTAGAAAAAGATGTAGACTGTTAGAAGAAGTTGCAGAATACACAGAATTTGGTTTTGCCTGTTTACTGAGAAAACCTCACAAGAGCAGTGAATTAAACAAAGCAGCATCTTACCTTTGGATGCCAAGGTTTTGCATGCATGACACGAACTGACAAGATGTCTTTTTGCAAGATGCAGATCTGCTCCAGATTTAGAACTGGAATAGAGAGGGATGCTGCAGACAAGGGTTGAGGTCTCTGCTGTTAGTCACAACAGAGAGAAGCTGGCAAAAGTGAGAGCTGGAATTCTCAGATCTGAGGTATGCAGAAATATGTGGAAAATAGGCAGGGTAGAATTACCAGGAAAAGAGAGCAGGAGTTTTCAGAAAGAAACCTGTTTTCAAGGTGTAGAAAATGTGTCTTCCCTCTGCTGTATTTCTTGGCAGCCTGCTAACACTCCATAATAATTTTTTTTTTTTCTTGAGTTCTTATATTTTAAGACTATAGCTGTGGAAAATTGTGAACAGTGATTCAGAGAGACAAACAGTTATTTGAAATATAGGTACATACATGCTGTTTTACTCCTCTTCCCCCAGTACTGAGGATGCCCTCACTTAAGATTTTCCCATTCTGTTTTAAAATTTCAGAGATGATAGGAAAACAAATAAGGTTTTCTCCCTTCTAGTGTTTTCTAAAGCCTTGGCTGAATTCAATATGAGACACATACCAAATACTTTCCTCCCATCTGTTTTTAGGGCATGGCTCAGCTGTAGGACAGAGGAGAAGCTCCTAACTGCATCCCCATCCAGGAAAATCCCAGACTAAAAATTGAGAAAGAATAAAAATGTTCTATGTGGGAATGTTTGGGGGGGGTGCAAGATAAGAGCCAGTGAAAAGGAGCTGCAGCAACACGGACAGGGTGGCAGTCAGAAGCAGCGGGATGCTTCCAGCCTGGAGGTCTGGCTGTGTTACGCTGCTGCGTGCAGACCTGGTGTGACTGGAAGGATGGCACCAGTGGCAAGTGAGAGCTGATCCTCCTCCACTTTCCACATGGCAGATTGACCCAGAGAATCGTGACTGTGCAGCAGTATCCATGTCCTGTTGCAGTGTGCTCTGCCTGCACTCCAGCCCCTCGCAGTCCACATCTGACACCTGCACACGCCCGGATAGTCCAGCAGCCTAATAGTCTGCACAGAGAATCATTCCTCTGTGAGGATTGCGAAGAACATCCAAAAGCTTCTCTTTGAGGAGGAAACACAAGAAGACTGGCTCACTGAAGAGTGTGGTGGACTGCTGCACTCACACCAGCTATAAGGGAACATCCTCATCCTCATCGTCATCTTCATCCAGGTCAGTGGTACGCAGGTTTATGTCCTTGAGGATGTCTGAGATGTTTTCAGCAACTCGCCCTGTCAGCTCCATCTCTTCCAACTCAGTATCCGTGGCATAAGCGGAGCTGGGGACTTCCCCCTCTTCCTGAGAGTGGGAGGGCTGGGGGGAGTGTGAGCAGGGGGGCAGGGGGCTCTCAGTGCCCAGGTTTGCTGCTGGCTCTGCTGCCACCGTGCCGTTGTCCTCTCGGCTCCACGCCTGAGCACCCTGCCCCACCTTGGTGGCGGTGGAAGTCCGGTTGATGTCACGGAAACTGGCAAGGGGTGGTCGGAGGCGAACCCCAGAGCGGGTGGAACCCTCTATTGCCTTCTGGAGCTGGAAGAAGAGAAACACTTCAGAAGAAAAACATGATAGGGAGGTTGGCCCAGCCCTGCCCAGCAGAAGTTCATCTACTCCCCAGGCTGAAAGGATCACAAATAGAGTCACAGCTCTACCTCTGGGGCCTATAGAGATAATCTTTTACAGTGCTGATGTAATGAAAAATTCCATGGTAAACAACAAATTCTACACCTCTTTCAGAAACAGTAATAGCCACCCAGTTAAGAGTGCTTATTAAGCCTGCACTCATGCAAAATATGAACCCGTTAACATCCCTGCAAACAACACCTGCTGCCTCCTCTGAAATGCAGTCATCCATTCCTTTACGTGGCTTCCAAAGGGCAGACTCAGAATTCAACATTGGATTGAAAATGTAGCGCTTGCAGTTATATATATTCCAGGTGGAACTTGCAGCACCTGTGAGTCACTGCAGTGATCCACAGGACACTTGCAGTCATTTAAGAGGCTGGCAGTGGATGTGTACTCACCTCTTCCAAAGCCAGCACTCCCCTCAGCTTCCCCATGCTGGTTACGTAGGCATGGCTGAGGCCCAGCAGTGAGAACAACGTGTGTGTCTAGGAGCAAAACCACAAAAGACCATCTCAGGGACTTTGAAAATGAGCAACACAGAACTTTGTGCTAGAGCTGGGACTCAGGATTTAGAAATGGAAATCACAAAGACACAAAACTGTGCAGTTATCCCAGTGAGAAATCTTCCCCTTTTGTATTTGCCAAATACTGCTCTTTGCTCCTTCTGCTGTGCAGCTGTAGTTGGGGCTGTGCTGATGTTGGGGAGCACATTCTCAAGGTCATTCTCATCCTGCAGCTGGTGGAGATTCACATACAACACCCTGTGTTGTTCATTTGAAGATCTACAGATCCTGTTTCATTTTGGTGCTGGAAACTGAGCTACGGTATAGTAATATGTAAAGTCAAAAACTGCTTAGGTTATTTATTGCAGTGCTTTCCTTATCAATAGAGGATTTCTTTTTTCCTGTCCCAGAATATTTTTCTGTGGAAGCTTAAGTTTGTTGCTGCTTATCCAGTGCAGTGAGAGCACTGAGAACAAGTTATTCTCTTTCTCTTACAAAGTCTCCTTGAAAGGACAGATATCACACTGCTATCAGTCTTTTCTTCAGCCTAAATATACCCCATTATTTTACTATTATATCACAGATCTGGGTTTCTAAAACTTTCCACA